ATCAATCCCGAAGAAAAAACAGCTCACCACACGAACATTTTCCCTCCCGGCAAAAAAAGGCCCCATGAGAGATTACAGAGACAAACAAACGAAAGAATGGTAAACGAGCAATTTACATATTTGTTAGCTGCATCTTTACTTCACTTGTTGCATGTCATCTTCAGTCTTCCAAACTACGTCCTGAAGGCTGGTTGATAGCGTCTTGTAGAACTGAACACCAAACAAAATCGAAAAAAATTGTGAAAAAGTGAAATTGAATTGTTACATACGACCATTTAATTAATATTTAATTATTTATATGTACCTATATAAAGCTAGAGCATTTTTTGTTTACCTAACACACAACCCCCTTCATGTGGACATTATTGTAGTTATGAAACAAAAATGGGCAAAACCAAAAATGCTAATTTTATTTTATTTTATAGGACAGCTTAAGAGAAGAAGTATACCTTGTTGAACTCCAAAGTGTCTCCCTTAGCTTTTCTGACCTCGACCATGTGCAAAGATGGACAACTTGAAAAACCTGATTTTTGTTACGATATACGTTATTTATTTGGTTCAAAGATGATTTACGGATTTACAGTCAGCAACATACCTCAGTAGCAACATTAAGATTTCCTTTTCTTCCTGCTCTTAAATTCTCAAGCCTCATCTGAAAAAAGGTGGATAAAAATTGACAGGAAGAAAGCTTTAAAACGGGTGGACGATCAATTCTTGTCAGAATATTGTATTCAGTTCCATAACGAAAGCAAATGATATCACAAGAGAAAAAAGAAAGCTGAAAACATATTGAAGAAAAATAGTCATTACCTTGTAGTTCTTCTTCTGAACACCAAATCCTAGAGGTTTTGCCGCTTGTTCGATTTTATTGATAATCTCATTAACTGGGCATCTAGACGTGAACCTTGTTTCCTTCTTGAAACCCTGTCACCATTTTGCAACAGTAAAGTATGAGCGAAAGAGAGCCAAAACAAAAAACACCTTTGCACATTTACACACATTTTAAACAATTGCACGGNCCAAAAAAAAAAAAAAAAAAAAAAAAAAAAAGGCATTTGTTGACCTGTTCTGGATCGAATAGATTCCCAAGATTGAGACCTTTTGACATGGAAATTAACTCAAAGGCGTTCATTGCAGTTGGCTGCTCCTCCTTTTTCTCCATCATCACATGATATTCCTGTCGTGAGGATATATATATGACACATTTTGATAGCCAAAATCAGCTTTATATGGCGAAATCTAACAATCAATTAGTCGATATGCAGGATATACAAACCTCGGAATCTTTAAACACAGCTTCCACATCATCCAAATTGGTACCTTCTTTCTCATCAAATACTGGCGGTTTGTAATCTTTCTTAAACCAGTCATCCGTCAATATCTCTGGTATACTAATGCGCTGTGAAAATGCGAGAAATAATGAAGTTAAAGGCAATTAATTAAAGGTTAACATTAAAAAGATTGAATTAAGTAAAAATTCTTACTCTGAGGGGATTTGGTTCGAGTATTCGGGTGATTAACTTCATGGCTCCAAGTGAAAGCCAAGGAGGGCAAGTGAACTCAGCAGAAGATATCTGGGCAGTAAAATGATTAGTTCAATATTAAGTTAAATTAAAAATTTAGTGACTCGTAAATGTCCAAGATGCTCACTTTTTGATAAAGGTTCATAACATTAGAGTCATCAGAAGGCAAGTAACCTGCGAGTAATACAAAGAGTATGACTCCACAGGACCACAAGTCTGCTGGTGCTCCATCATAGCATCGACCATTGAGGACCTAAGCACGTTTAAGAATAATTATATAAAAAATCATAAAAGTAAAATCAAGGAAAAGAAATATTGCTAGAATGGATGTTTACTCCAATTACACACCAAAAAAAAAACTAGTACACCTTTGGTATTTGTTTCTATGTTACAAATTGTGGCAATATCATCAATAATAATAATAATAATAATAATAATAATAATAATAATAATAATAATCAACATATAAACAATTTACCTCAGGTGCAACATAATTGGGTGTGCCGCAGGCAGTATGCAGCNATTAGGCAATCTAAAAGAAAACTGAAAGCAAAGCATACATTTAGGAATTGATTACAGGCAAGGTAGATTATGATATTTACCCTGACGTGCTGGGAGAGAGAACTTAATCCAAAATCAGAAACTTTGAGGTTCCCAGCAGCATCCAATAGTAAATTTTCAGGCTGTGCTCATGTTGTTATTTTTTTTTTAGGGAAAAGAAGGAAAATTTAGAATAAGCAAAATTAGTTTTACTAAAACTGAACAGTAACTAGCTATGTCAGTTACCTTTAGGTCCCTGTGGAAGACTCCCCTGCTATGACAGTAATCAACAGCATTAATAAGTTGATGAAAATACTTTCGTGCTTCATCTTCTCTCATTCGTCCATTATTTACCTTTGTACGTCGACATTTTCATTTCAGACAAATGATCGTGCTCATAGAATTAACAGCTAAAATAGAGATGGCTAAGAATTAAGTTTAAAGATATATTTGAAATTACAATTTTGTCACAAACTCGAAAACAATGAATATCTTGGTCTTGCTTGCCATAACCTGAAGAAAAACAAGATTTTTTTTATATGCAAACATTCAGATGAGAGAGAGAGAGAGAGACCTCATGTAATTGGACAACATTTGGATGTTTAACCAACTTCATCGTCGCTATCTCCCGTCTAATCTGCAAAATCATAAGACATGAACATGAATGTCAAAGATGAATTAAGATCTTCAATAGTCCTTTTCTACCAATAAAACATAGACAACACTCATGTTCAATCTTAAAATAATAATAAAAACAAAATCATTCACATTATTTGATCAACTCCATAAGAGACTTAATAACTTCAAGTGTATGAAGATAAAAAGGAAAAGATTAACCTGTTCAGCCATTTTGTGCTGAAGGACCTTGTCCTTGTCAAGAATCTTGATGGCCACAGGGTGTCCATTCTCGGAATTTCTAGCGAACTTTACTTTCGCAAACGTGCCCTCACCAATTGTGCGCCCCATCTCATACTTCCCAATTTTGCGCTTAATTTTTGGTTGATTCAACTTGTGTGTAATCATTAATTTGTCCCACACTAGGCAATTCTAAACTTTTGGTCTGCACAAGCAGCAGATTACAACCGTCAGACCCTTGAAATACTGATCTGTCACTGGAGAAACATAGCATACTCGATATAAGTACTCAGATTTATTTATTTATATAAAAATAAAAAAAATTAAGTGGACATAAATAAAAAAAAAATAAAACAAGTGGAAAAATATCAAAAACACGTATTCTTAGAATACGTTTTCTAAATAAGAACGTATTCCTAAAATACGTTTTCATAAAAAAACGTATTCTAATAATACGTGTTCATTAGAAACAATTAATTAAGGTGATTAACGTAATTAAATTAATTAAAATAGGTTAAACACGTATTCTGGAAATACGTTTTCAGTTAAAATATTTAAAATTAATATTTTTGATTTTAAAAAAACTTATTTTTTTGGAAAATAATATTTGCAAAATTAAAACGTATTTTCAAAATACGTTTTTGGACATAATTTTGCCCCAAATTGATTGCGCCCTAATTTTATCCCCAAATCGATTTTGACCTAATTTTACACAGTAGAAAAACGTATTTTGAAAATACGTTTTTGAACCTAATTTTTCCCCAAATTGATTGCGCCCTAATTTTATCCCCAAATCGATTTTGACCTAATTTTACACATTACAAAAACGTATTTTGAAAATACGGTTTACTGTGCAAAAACAGCAATTCACAAAAACAAAATTACAAAAACACACCTGTTAATCGAGATCGATTCCACAACCAAATATAAATTCACAAAACCCATATCAACCATGTCAAAGAAACAATAATGAAGCACAATAATTCACTTTCCAAATATAAAATTCCAAACAAGTTCAAATATCATTACACATAAATCCACGAAAGAAAAAAATAAATATATATGTCTACAAATTGTCTCCGAATACAACACAACTAACTAGGAGTGTATCGATTGGTAGGGTTGCGTGGTCGGTTGCTAATCCGACGCTGTGGTGATTGTGCAGAAGACGATGCTGTGGGTGTGGTAGGTTCTTGTTCTTCTTCTTGAGCTGAGTAATTAAGTTTTTTAAGAAATTAGAAATCACAAAACATAAATAAAATTATATTTTTGTTAACTAAAAGATGTTTACCTTCTTCTTGTTGTTCCTCAGGCCCGGCGTCGGCAACTGGTTCGCGGTGACGTCGTCTTCTACCTCCACGAATATGGGGAGGAGGTTGATGCCTGGCTCGGTGTGACTGCGTCCTCTGGGGTTGGACGTAGCTCTCTTGTGATAAAACTTGGCTTGACGACGTCCCCTGACCGATCTCTCCGCCTCCGACAGTCAGAGATGTGTAGAGAAGGCTCTTGGCATATTGGATTGCCGCCTGCATCTCCGGATGGGCTGTATGATATAGATGCTCAACATTGGATAACACGTTATAAGCCCCCTCCATGCCGCTAGCCTGAAAATTTAATTCAAAGTAATTTTTATGAAAC